GCACCTTGACCTCCAGACATGGTGAGGGAGGCCCAGGAGCACAGTTCCGGATCCGTGTTGGATTAAATGGCACCCCGAGCCCCAATTCCCTGGGATTTGGGAATAATTTAAGAGATGGAGTTTAACAGTCCCCGTGTACTTTTCTGGCCACATGCCACCTGAAACGTAATGCCTGAAAAAGTCCTCAGTGGCTGCTGTGGAGGAGCACTGCGTCCCGCCTGCCTGGCCATGGCCACGAGGCTCTGCCTTCTTAAAAAGGCTCCCTCTGTGCCCAGTGCTGACCGAGTGCCTCCTTATAAATATTTGGGATAAATGAATAAACTGTTGAAATTCCCCAGAAGGGGAAGGAAACATTTCCGTGAGCGATGCGTGGTGAGCATGAGTCATCAGGTAAAACTTCTGAGAGACCTGCACATCTAGAATAGCTAAATCAGGAAATCTCCTCAGAAAAATGGGGATTCATTTTCCAATAGAAAGCAAAGAACTAATGTACAGAAAAGCAAATCTGTCAAAATATCAAGCAGTTTATCAAAAAGCTAAAGCCCAGTGAAATGCGGAGGTCATGGACTCCAGTGAAAACCCTCCTGTGAACACCACAAAAGCATCATTGTTAACTCTGATAGTTACACTTGCAAAAAGGACCTGTAAGAAAGAAAAATAAAAAAATAGAAATGTAAAATAAAATGAGAATAAGTAAGCTGAACAATGGAAAAGTAAATCAACACCAATATAAACCAGATATGCCTCATCATCTGCTGCATTCCACCGCCCAAAGCCTTATGAAATATAGCACCTGCTTGCCTTGGATTTGGAAAAACACGGTGTGCCTAAACGATCATATTTTTCAAATAGAGATATGCCTAGAAAAATACTCTAAAAATCCAGCAGTTCTGGGAATTTGTGGACCAAGAAAAAGGAAAATTGTGCTAAGAGGCATCATCTTGCCAAGGAGAGAGCGAGTGCAGGGCTTGCCAATTATGTAATGCATGATTGAAGGTGACAGCACTTGCAGATATTTTAGGGAGCACGAGATCATAAACGAGTGGCAACTTGGAGGAATTCCCAGAAAACAAGAAGCAACTGCATGAATAAATTGCAGGGCATTTTAGCGGTGCAAGAGGTGACATCTGAGGAAGAACCCACTGAAGGTTGCAACATGTGCCTCCCTAGGAGTCTTCAGTAAGAAGCAGAACTTGGGCTGGGCTGTACATCTGGAGCTGCACATCTGGACTCATCATGTATGTGGTGTCAGAGCTGCAGCAGCAGCCCTCGCTTGAGGTGGGGCAAAGCCACCATGGCTTTGGTGAGCCGCCACCCAGTAAAGCTCTGGCAAAAGTGGGACTGGAGGAAATTGCTGGTGCCACCAGGTGCTTCCCCTGCCTGAGCAGCATCTACCTGGCTGCTCCCTGCACTGCCTCCACCAATACGATGCAGGTGAGATCAAATATCCAGGCTTTGACTGAAACCAGGCCTGCCCCAGCCTGGCAGCAGGTAGCAGTCTCACTCAGGAGTGGGTTTTGGCAAACCAGGAAGGATGGAGGAAGGTGGCTGGCAGGTGCATCTGCAGGGGGCAGGTATGAAGGTGAGGTTTCTGAGGTTAAGCACACTGGAGTGTGGAATTGTGTCCCAGCTCCTCCCCTGGCTGCTTCTGAGGAGTGAGCAGGGAAACCTCTCCCAGCGGGACGCAGGCAGGAGCCTTCCTTTAGCCCTTCCTCCCACGCCTTCTCCATCTCACCCACTTCCTTCCTCTGGTTGTGCTGAGCTGCTCGTGCATCTACTGTAAATCTGAAAGCTGCCCGTCAAGCTCAGCTGGCAGCTCGGGGCACACTGCCCTGTGGCTGCTCCCATGAAGGGAGGAGGAGGAAGAGGAGGAGGGGGAGGTAAGTAGCCTCATGTCACACTGCTGGCACAGCTCAGCACCCAGGCATGGGAGCTGGTGCCATGGCAGGCAGAAATGGTCTCTAAAACAGGATGAGGCCCCTGTGGCCAACAGGGCTGTGCTGGGATGTCTGCTCAGATGGACCCACGCAGGAGGCCAGCATCCTTGTGTGGCCCCAGCTGCAGTAGGACCAGCCTGGTCACACGTTTGGGCTGAGTCTGATTTACATCTTGGCTTTGGGGAAGGAATTTGAAACCTCTCCTGAAGCACATAAGCAGCAGCTTTCATTTACCAACACCACAGAGGTATGTAGTGGGACAAGTGGGAAGATAACATCCCTGATTCCCAACAAAAAGCCATGAGCGCTTCTGTCCTGCACTCAAGGAAGCAAAGCAGAGCAGCCTCTTCTCCTCCAAGTTTAGGCAAAAGTGGCAGATAGGTTGAAAACTCTTTAGGGAGGGACAGATGGACAGACATGCACATGAACCATCTCAGTAGGTCCTGCTCAAGGGGGAAACCTGTTCTCTGTGCCCCCGCAGCAGCCGGGGATGGCAGCAGTCTGGGGAAGAGCAGCATCCCCTTCGCCTGCGCACGTCAGACCTCCTGAAGCAGAAACCATTCTGCTGCCCAGTGACACTCCTGTGCCCACACCAAGGGCCAGGCAGAATGGGGCCCTCAAAACACTCAGCTTTTTTTCTGTTTTGAACAGTAGTTTACAGAGATCCACCAAGAAGTAAATTAGGATCACTAGATATTCAGGAGAGGGAGGATTAAGAAGAGAGAGGACACCCATAAAAACGTGCCCCTTTTTAGCTTCACACCTCTACTGGGAAAGTATTATTTCTTAAATGACTCTGGTGTTTTTTGCCTCAGCCTCCTTGCCCAGTTAGCCAGTTCACAGATTTATTATCCTTTGCATGAAATAATACTTCCTGACATCTGTTCCCAGTTTGTTTCTCTTTAATTTCCATTTATAGCACATTTTCCTATCCTCTGACCATGTTAAAATAAAACAATAAGTATGTTTGACATGGTGCAAGTTACTCAAGGTCATGATCCTTCCCTGACCTTCACATTTTTTATTTTTTATTTTTTTTAAAAACATGCTCTAGAATGCAGAAAATCATTTTATGAGCTTTGATTAAAAAGAAGTGGAAAGCTCAGAGAATCAGGAACCACTCAGCATTTCACACCTCTGCCAGCAGCCAGTTACCTGGGGACTGGTGTGAGGGCTGCTTGGTGGTTCCAGTCCAGTTCCACCCTGACAAGTACCAGCTGGAGGCAGACAGGGAAAGCAAGGAGCTGTGGGCTGTGCAGTCCCTTCACCAGGTGGGGGTGAGAACCAGGTGACTGTACAAAATGAGGTGGCAGTGGGACAGGCACAGGAAAAGAAATGTTAATTCCTATTGCAGCGATACAAATTGGCTTGAGTAACGCTTTCCCTCCTGAGCAGGCAGATGGAAGAGGTGCCCTTCCCTTGCTCTGGAGAGAGAGTTTGCTTCCAAGTACAGTCTGGCAACTCCACAAGCAATAAATTCACAAGGAGAAGCAATGAGGAGTACTTTAGTTATGGCACGAGAACATTTTATGTTGTCATCTCTATCTTGGTACAAGCTCTCAATATAATTTTAGCTCAGGAGGAGGTTGGTTATGAAGCTAAAATAAAATTGAAAGAGTCAATGTAGCCTCCAACCAAATGTGTGTGCACACCTTCCCATTCAGTTACACGGCAAACAGCGAGCTGGAGTCATCTCCAGCTGGTCCGTCACCGTTTCGTGCACTACCAGGCAGCTGGCTAGCTGGGACCAGCATGGTCTACACCAGCAGGACCCTGCTCCAGACAGCCCCTCCATGTGCTCCTGCAGCAATACACCAGTAAGTGTCGTTATGCCTCCCGCTTGGACACGGATGAAAAAGTTGCACCCCGAAACAGAAACATCTGAAACTGAAAATATTTCTGCTCGGTCCTCTTTGGCTGGAAGGGTGCTGGTTGCTCTGCATTGTGGCAGAGAGGTGGGTGCCCACGACAAGACCCACAGCAGATTGTGGTGTCCTCTACGTGCCCATCTGCCTCCGGAAGCCTTCTTCACACCAGTTTTACTGCCAGGGCTTTAACCTGCCTGGTTGCCAAGGGCATTTTCCTTTTACCCAAATTCCAAGCTGAACATGCACACACTAGAAAGCCTGGGTTTAACCTGAGGCTTTTTGGGGTCAGAACAAACATCATGACAAACAGGTCTAAGAGCAGCCAAGTCAAACCCGCTCTGTTTGTCGGTGCTCTGACAAAGCCCTGGCCTCTCCAGCACACCGTGCCGCTCGGTGCCAGGCCTGCACCACTCCAGCTGGAGGGCCAGAATCCTGACGAGGGTGAACGGTCTTTGGGGAAGCAGGTCAGAAGGGGCTTGGGAGGCTCACCAGCAGGCTGCTGGATCAGGTGCTCAGCACATGCAGGAAGGCTGCTCCTTGAGGGAAACCAGCACCTCCCACTGCCCAAGAGATGCTCCCCTGACCGTCCTCTGGCCCACCATGGATCAGGTAAGTGTGGCTGAATGGGCCAGCACGGTTGGCCAGCTCACACCCTTGGGAACCATTTAATCCTCAGCAGCAGAGAAGCTCAGAATTACACAAATGTGCTCATGTCTCCGCTGCCTGAACTCTCTGCACTTCATCAACTCTCCCAGGCTTTAAGTTGTAAGCAGGCAGTTCAGGCGGGTGGATTTGTCCTACATAGCCCATGGTTTGGAAGGATAAACATGAGCCCCCCTAGTCTGCCTGTTTGTTCTATTCATTACTTCCCTGCCACAACTGGCCAATTTACTTTTGCTGTTCATCCAGCCCAGTATTTACAGCATCTGGAAGACTCAAAAATTGACTGAGAAGAGAAAGAGAAAAGCTACACTACACTTGAAGGCCTGATTATGCAAAGCTTTATGTGAACAATGCTGTCACCACCCTGGAGAACAGGCCTGGAGGAGGGGACAGAGAAAGCTTCAACACTTTGACTTAGCTCATACTTGGTTGTAAATGCACTGTGCAGCTATCATCGGGGTTAGACAGCCATTCCCTGGTTTAGGTGCAGAAAGAGGAACTATGAAGAATGACTCAGGGTCTTTGGTCTTCTGAGTTGCAATCTCTTTATTTGGTTAAGTGGTCTGAGTCAACAAAGTCATACTCTCCTCTATTTCTGAGAGTTTCTTCAGCATCTGGTTCAACTTGGCCTCGTCAAACTCCAGACAGAGAAACTCCGATTCCTACAAAACAAAATTGCAAGAACAAGAGTTGAGAAAGATAATGGTTTTTCAGGCATACAGTGGAGGCAGGATAGTGAGTTCTGTTTTCCTGACAATTTGTGTCCCGTGTCTCCTTTTTTCCTGGTACCACTTAAATAACCTCAGTAGACCCAGAGGTTGGCTCCACACCTGCTGAGCCAGAGCAGTAGTGCTGGCACCAGCAGCTGCTGAAGAGGACAGAGGGAGGCTGAACACTGCCCAGATCTCCTTTCAATGTAGGCATCGGTTTGGGTCTCTCCTTAGCTGCAGACTCTTGCAAAACCTACAGAAATTTAATTATATCTGAGACTTCCACTTTTCTTCCCCACGTGGTGACTCCCAAAGCCATCCCTGCAGACCCTGGGAACTGTGAAGTGGTTGGAGCCACGGCACACAGCTCGTCACATATGAAAAACCAGATTTTGGGAAAACAAGAATCCAAAGGACAGACTTGTACAGGACACTCCAGCCTGCAAATTCAAGAGAGTTTTATATTCTCTTACACACAGGCTCTAGTGTTAATATAAACTTAAAAGCAAGTTAATTAGCAGCACTGATTTGCTCTGAGAAGTCCTGTCAAACCTTAAAAAGTAGCTATTCTCACACAAGGTGGAGTGCGGGACAGAGTAAAAGGATCTTGTAAAAGACCCAGAAAATAAAGAAGATATATAAACCAATAAATATGTGTATATGTGTATATAAAAAGTTCAAATGATATGGACCTCATTACTAAACACAAATGTGAAAAGGCCTCTTGAGATCTCCAGTCCATGAGCCTTCCCTGCTGGTATGTTTACAGTTAGGAACTATTTCCTGTAGTGAGCCTGGCAGAACAAACGTTTGAGATTGTGGTGAGGCCGTGCAGGTTATTCCAGGTGAAGCACCACCAGTGACAGAGAAACAAATTGAAAAAATCTGAAGATGAAAGTGCAGCCAGTATGGAGGAAGGTTTCCTTATGAGACACTGAAATAGTTTTAGCCATCAGGACCACTGAATATCCACTGCATTTCTGTATGTAACAGACCCTGTGATGCTCATGAAAGCAGAATGAGACTGGGCATCTCTCAGTCTCATCTGTTTTCTGCCAGACTAAAATGTCTTCTAAAATACATTTTTTCCCCATACAATCAGCATCTTCCCAAAACATTGCAAATTCACCCTTTAGATTTATGGAAGTATTAGCTGATACACAAGGATAAAATCATTAGATAAATTAAACCCATCAACTTTTACTAACCACAGTTTAGGACTGTTACAAGCATTCTCCCCCAGGCATCAGGAATGGTTTTACCTCTTACCCTCTCTCATTCTCCCAAGGATTCGTGGATTGTTTCATTTTTTGTTAGAACCAAACCAGTAAGTGAGATACAAACCAAAATGCTGACAGAAGAAGCAAGGGGATCATTTTGTGTGCAATTATCACAAAGGGCATTGCCAGAAAAACACTAATGAGAAAGAAATGAGGTGCCAGAAGTCAGTGATCAGGAAGCCAAGCTTTGGGAAGCACATGAAAAAGTTGTGCCAGGGCTTCTGCTCAAACATCAGTCACATGGGGAACTACCACAGCTCAAGGCAGAAACCAAAATGGTGATTTAAATCTTAAAACTTGATACTTTCTAAGAAAGACCTCATTCAATGACAGCGATGTGCACTTGAAACTTCTTTTTTGTTTTCAAATATCAGTTTCTCCCCTGATGCTTGGATTCAGGTGCTGGTAGTTCACTTACCATGGCTACACTGGATGAGCCAGTCAGTGAAATGTTTATTATCTTACCTGCTAACGACCAAATAACCAACAGGCAAAGGTGCAAAGATCAAGTCATGTATTTAGTGTGCAAGTGTGTCTGATTAGAAAAGGTTTTGTAGAATTAAGGAGAACTTTGAATGATGTATGGGCATAGTTCAGGCAGGAAATGTAGGACTTGGAAATAAGGGCTCTCTTGCACAGTTTTTCTTGCCTGTGACAATGGTTATTGACACATTTTATGGAAAATACCTTATATAAAGTATCTCTGCAAACATAATTACAGCAAAGCATAATTACAGTCCTTGACAGGATGAACTCCAAGACCAAACTCCTGTTGGCTTCTATGGCTTTCCAGGACTCCAAGCCACGTGAGCTCATCAACAGACTTCCCAGGCCAGGGTGTGCCCATGCAACCTTCAGGCTCTGTGTAAGTTGATTTTACAGCTTATCGGTGAGTGAGAGCAGAGAGGAGATGACAGGAGCTCCCAGATCTGCTGAAGGTTTCGTACCAGCCTAAGGTATCAGGAAGCTTTTTTTCCTTCTCTTTAAGTTTTGCTAGTTAAGAGGACTGTAAATTGAGTGAAAGGACACTCCTGGATTACACTAAGTCTTGTCATGCCACTTTATAGATGTGTAAGGGTACTCATTGTAAAGCACCTAAAACTTGCCTATGTAGCTTGAATGGTATCTAAATTGTTATCACACTCTCATGTGGACCAACCTAAAATGTGACTGAGTGGGCTGTAAATCAGGCTGCTCAGAACTGGGCTTTAGTTTTATTTAATGCTGTGTTAGTTCATATCCTGCAAAAAGTTCCAAAGAATTATAAAAAAAAGTAAGAAAAAAGAGGACAGAGCTGAAAAATTAAAACTTCCAATTGCTCCTCTAATGTGTACTCCAGGAGCAGGACAAGTTTGGTGTCTCTGCTCCTTCTCAGCAAGAACCAAGACATTCCTTTTGATACCTCCTATTGGTATACAACTTTTCAGCCTACTTGCATCTTTTGTAATTAAGCAAACACAAAATGGAATGAGTTGTTCATTAAAAATAAACCCAGACAGAAGCTAATAAACAAGAACATCAGCAGGCTACCAAACGCTTTGTTGTCTGAAGCCACCAAACACACAAAGACAGCACCATAAGCCCTTTCACCAGATGGGGTTTCATACTGAAATCATGGGTAGCAGTGCCTCGAAGCCCTGAAGAACAGCATGCTTGCCTACTAGACTGAAATCTGGTCTTCAGCCCTTCACAGAGCTGGCCGTGGCCTTTGGAGGAAGCACGTGTATGTGCACGAGCTGGGTTGTTAGAGCATGTCTGCCTGCAATGCAAACAGCACGTGCATTTCCACCTTCAGGCTGGAAAGCCAAGCTCATTGCTCTCAGAAAGGTGTGGGAATGGATGTCCATGTCCTGCAGATGTCCTGGTTTTCTCTCCACATGCTTTCCCACCCCTCCTCCCATTTCCCTCCTGAGCCTGGGCTATAAAAAGGAGCTGCAAAATAAACATCCAAGAAACACAAACTCCCCCCAGCCATGAATCAGGTTTTCTAGGTTTTTTTCTTTTTCAGAAACAAGAGAGAGCTGCAAAAATATTTATATGAGAGACTAAGAGAAGCACATCTTTCTGTATCTCAGTAACTACACTTTAAAAAGAGCTTAGTTTTAGAAAACAAATCCTCACAGATTCACTGTTTAAAAAATACAATTGTTCTCTCTTAAATCAGTTTGACGAGCTACTTGAAATGGTTCCAGCAACTCTGATACTCTTGGTGTTTTTAAGTTCCAGCCACTATACCGGAAAAACAAAACTAAACCCCTCTAAATTCACCTGTCATCTTACTCATATTCATTTCCACTTGATTCAGAGACATCCCAAACCACTCAGCATTCAGGGAGTCACTGCCAGGACCGCAGTACAAGTTGGTGGTAAATGTGCTTTGCATCCTAAAGTGTCTTGACTAAGGCTTGTTCCACGCACTGGGGTGGTGGCATCTCCCAGCACAGAAGCTAGGAAGTCAGTTTCGTTAGCAAACGGTGGTTGCAAGGAGATGCTGGTGCAGGTGCAGTCAGTGGAGTGTCCTGTCTCAGGGTTGCTCGCCCAAGGCCAGTGAAGTTGCTACAGGCAAATATTTGCCTTCCCAGGCAGCAACACCTCAGACAAAGCTTTGAGAGAGGTAAGGAGAACCCCTTGCCAAGGGGTAGGAAACAAAAATTGCTCAGCATTGATCAAAGGTGCCAAGGGATTGATGACAGCCATAACAACCCACAATTCACGTGGGTTCAGAGGGACAAGGACTTTCTTCCATTAAATCAGTGAAGTGCTGCCAAGCAGAGAGCTGGCTGGCTACCAGGAGAGCAGGTCTCCATGGTTCAGCCGAGGTGCCACCCACAAGGGGAGAGAAAGCCAACTCTACCTTCACACAGGGAATGCTCTATGGTGTTCAAGGAGCTGAGGCAGAAAGAAATGCAGGGTTTGTCTGGTTAGATACTATTTCATACCACAAGCAGTCATAGTCTGAAACCCTACACAGAGAAAACAGGTGATGCTGTGTGCCCATCCTCACCTCCAAGGATTTCACACGTGCTTGGGAATAAGCTCACTCACAACTGCTTGATTTGGGGTCCCAGGGGCCCCTAGCCTGTGGGGCCCACAGAAGAACTGCTCCAGATCATGTGGAAGTGGAAGAGCAGGAATAGCCAGGTATGGACATGGACTTCTGTACGCATGCAGCTGCTCCCTGGAACAACGGGAGTACCGTGGGGGGTTAGTTCTTAACCTTTGGGTTCAGGCAATGCTTCCAGGTAAGCAAAGTGCTTTAATTATAGAGGGGTTTTTCTTAATTAAAAGAATTTAAGAAGGCAGGATTTCAACAGAAGTTAGTAACAAAAGTAGTGGAGTTCAGAAATGTGGCCTTTTTATTTTTGAGCTGGAGCCCAACCATCCAGTGGTATAGGATTAAAATAAAAAGGAACTTATTTCATAGCTGGACATGCAAAAGGGTGAATCAAAGAAATTTCTGGCATAACGTTTCCTATAGAAACAAATTGTGCTGCTTTTTAAGAACTTCTGAGTTCCTCACAGCTAAGCAATAAATAACTTTTTTTCTATTCCACGTCACTTTTCCTTCCAGATCACTGAATATTTTGCAGCCAGGCAAATCTCCTACCTCCTCTCCTAACAAGGATAAATACCAAATATACATTACGCAAATAATTAAGCACATCACTGGCA